GCGTGTACCGCTCGGTGGAGTCGGCTGGTTCGCGGCGGAACTGAGTGCCGACGATGGCGTCCGGGTGCTGCAGCAGCACGCGCAGCTGTGACGCAACGCGGTCGTTCTCCATGTAGTCGTCGGCGTCCAGGAAGCAGAGCACATTGCCCACAGACTGGAGCAAGGGACAAGGGTGGGGCACGGGCGGTTAGCGACAACGACAGCAGCAACCGGGTAGATGTGGGGGGGGGGTGGAGGAAGAGTGAACATTGTGTCGCGTGGTAGTCGGCATTGGCGAGCGTGGTGAGCAGGCGCGAGTGCTGCGTCAGGATGTCATGCGTCACATGTGACAATGAAAGGAAGCTAAAAGGGGAAGGAGGGAAGGAGGCGAAGGAAGGCGAAGCAAAGGCAATGGTGGGAAGAGAAGGGAAGGAAGGGAAGGAAGGGAAGGCAGTGTTGCCGCGTGTGCTGCAGGTCAGAGCACGGTGACGCACACACCTGTTGTATTGCTCGGTTCTTGGCGAACCCGACACCGCCAGGTTGAAGCTCGCGTGATGCTGGTTGGCAGGAGCACACGTGCCGCAGCATGTCATCGTCCTCGCCTGCGGTGTGGTGTACCGTGGTTGTGTCCTTAGTCGCAACACTCCCTCGGCGTGCTGCGTCCTTGCCAGTCGTGCCAACAGCAGGTGCGTTAGCACCGGTGCCGGCGTCACTCTCCAGCGTTGCTGTGCCACAGTGACCACCTCGAGTACCATCACGGCTGCCAAACCGCCGCTCGAAGCACTTTGCGCAAGACACACGGGTGTGGATGCCAGCCGCATGCAGCCGTGGTATCATGCGGCGCACGACATTCAGGGTTCCGTCCCTCGACGCGTCATCATAAATGGACACCTCTGTCAACGTGGAGACACGCGGGGGAAGGGCGTGGGTGGGAGGAAGCGAGGCACACGAAGAGCGAGCGTCATGAAGTGATTGATCACACAGAGAGAAGGGGAAGGAGGAGAGACAGACAGACAGACAGACAGACAGACAGACAGACAGACAGACAGACAGACAGACAGAGACAAAGACAGACAGACAGAGACAAAGACAGACAGACAGAGACAAAGACAGAAAGACACACAGACAGACACACAGACAGACAGAGACAAAGACAGACAGACAGAGACAAAGACAGACAGACAGAGACAAAGACAGAAAGACACACAGACACACACACAGACACACAAAGCCCACGGTTGACGTACCCAGTGGTCTGTGCGTCTCCAGGAGTAAGCTGGCCAACGCACGCTCAATCCGCGTCTCTTCATTGTGGGCCGGTGTCACCACTGTCACCAACACCCCACCTCCACCATCATCACCTTCTTCCATCACCACCAACAACGTGCGCGAATTGCAGCAGAGTCCTCCCACAAACATTCTCGCACAACCAACAACAATGATGAGGAGGGTGGTGTTGCTGCTGGCGTTGGCGGTGGTGGTGGTGGGGAGTGCTGGGTGCTGCATGGGCGATGTGAGGCGCATTCGGGTGGTGGACCAGCCCGCAGGCGGAGCACACGCGTCATCGTCGTCCTCGGCTTCGTCGTCGTCGTCGTCCTCTTCCTCGTCCTTCTCATCGTCGTGGCCAGAGCTGCATGGCCGCGTGCCGAAAGCCGCGTTTGCTGGTCCCCAAGCGTTTGCGCCGCTCGTGTCCCAGTGCTTCTCCTACTCAAAGTCAACGTGCGTGTGCATGCGTGTGTGTGCGTGTGCGTGAGTGTGTGCATGCGCGTGTGTGAGTGTGTGAGTGTGCTTGTGTGTGGGTGTGTGAGTGTGTGAGTGTGTGAGTGTGTGAGTGTGTGAGTGTGCTTGTGTGTGGGTGTGTGAGTGTGTGAGTGTGTGAGTGTGTGAGTGTGTGAGTGTGTGTGTGAGTGAGTGTGTGAGTGTGTGAGTGTGTGAGTGTGTGAGTGTGTGAGTGTATGAGTGTGCTTGTGTGTGAGTGAGTGAGTGTGTGAGTGAGTGTGTGAGTGTTGTGTTCGCTGCTGTTTGACTCCACTCAACTCACACACTCGCTGACACACACACACACACTCTCAAACATGCAGGTACTTGTACCGCGTGTGCTTGTTCGACAATGTCACGCAGCATGACATTACCAGCACGTGGCAAGGCTATCACGGCGTCTTGGGGTTAGCTGCAACCGTAATTGGCGGGACGTGTGTGTGTGTGTGTGTGACATAATTGCGCCTGTGGCATCACGATCACTCTCATTCACACTTATGTGTTCGGCCACCACTCATCCTTGGACTCTCCTCTGCCCCCTCCTTCCCCCCTCTCTCTCCTTCTCTCTCTTGTGTAGCACGTACGCTGAGTGGACCTCATCCCGGGACGCCCTCACAGGGCTGTACTTCAGCAATGGCGACACCTGCCACAACGTCGACCGTCACGCAAACGTACGGCGTTCACTGCAATGTGTGTATGCATGATTGTATGTGTGATTGTATGTATGTGTGTGCATCCTGTGCTTTGATGATGATGAGTTTGCTTTGTGCGTGTATGTGCGTGTATGTGCGTGCGTGTGCATGTGTGTTCGCCGCAGCAGTAACAACATGAGGCATCTCCATTGTCGACTGCTTGGCACACAGGTGACGTTTGAGTGCGGACAGAAGAACCGGGTCGTTGACGTACAAGAGCCGTCCATGTGCCAATATGTGCTTCGCTTCGAGACCCCGCTTGCATGCAACGACACCCTGGCCTGTACGTAACGGGTGACCAGTGCGGGCCGTTTGCGTCGTTCACCTCTCGTGTGCACCATTCACACACGCCTCGTGTCATGTTCACGCAAACACATACATGTGTATGCGAACCATGCAATATGCATTCAAACGCAGCCACTGTAACTTCACACACACACACACACACACACACACACACACACACACACACACACACACACACACACACACACACACACACACAACACACAACACACAACAGTGGAGCGAGCGCTGTCAGGGATGCGAGCGGCGCGACTGGCCACCCTCCGCGATGAGCTTGCACACGAAGAGATTACAGAAGCCGGGTTTGACCGGCGCCTCCACCAGCTGCTGGCGATGGACGGGCTCGTGCCCAGGCCGTCACGCAGCACAGTCACCCCCGCGTCCACCGCCACTGCCGCTGCAAACCGTGAAGGCGACACAGGCACGACGATGTCAGACGATATCGACAGCCACGGCGGCGAGGATGCTGTGCGCGTGGAATCACCGCTGCTGGGTGCGGGCGATGACATTGAGTGGGATGATGAGGACCGCACCGTGGGTGACACGCGTGTGCAAACTGCTGCATGCTTGCAGGACCGTGACGTGCTTACAGCTGTGCGTGAGGCTGCGGCCACTGCGCTGGCGCAGCACGCTGCCGTGCACGATGTTGACGGCGTTGTTGACGCCATTGTCGAGCAGCTGCAGCTGCGAGTAGGGTCGAGCAGCGCCAGGGTGGATGGTGGTGCTGGAGAAGAGGCGGCTGTTGGTGTCGATGACGGTGAACAAGACACTGACAGCAAGGCTGACACCAACGCTGGCGGGGGTGGCTGGTGGTGGAATGCATAGCAGCAACAGCTTGCTCGGTGGCGGTGATGTGATCGGTTACGCGCGCGCATGTGTGTGTGTGTGTTTGTATTTCAACACCACATGCTCGCATGACTCTTTCATCACGTTCCTCTCCTGTACATACGTGTGGCAATTGTCTTGTATGTGCGTGCACATGCACGCATGCTCTCAATGTGTGTGTGTGTGTGTAATCAGGTCACCTGTGTTGACAGTTGTGCCAAGGGTCTCATGTCACATCACTCCTTAAAATGTGTAATCTCAGTAGTGAATCATGGATGGTGTGGAGGGAGCAATCAGCGAAAGAGGGGGGTTGGGTTGTTAAGTGCACAGTGAAGAGGAGGAAGAGGGGTAAAGTAAAGAACCAACAGCTTGCTGCAAAACCCACACGAATCACCATCACCGTGCATCGACAACACAAAGGGAGTGTATGCTGTCGAGCCACATGGCAGGACAACGTCAATGCGCATCAACTCACGCGCGCAACACCGCCGCGAATCAGCGCACAACAGAACACACACGTACGCACACACAGACACACAGACACACGAAAGCACACATAGTCACAATCACACACACACACAGACACACACACACACATACATGCACACATACATGCACAGAACATCAGAACAAGCACGAAAAGGACCTATTTCCTCCTGGGCTTGGCCCACTCGCACGAAAGCACAGAGGGGCCATAGCGGTGGCCGTCCAGTTTCTCCAGCGCCGTTGCAGCATCCTGGCGCATGTTGAAGTCGACATATGCAAAGCCCTTGGCGTCGCCAGTGCGCTTGTCCTTGGCAAGGAACACGCGGCGCACGGGGGCGATGGCGTTGCAGAGATCGCGCAAATCGTCATCTGTGGTCCAGGGCGGCAGGTTGGTGATCTGCAGGCTGGGCTGCTCCTCATCGAAGGCAGATGCGGCGCCGTTACGCGTTCGCGGTGCACGGTACGCGCCGGTCTGTGGCCGCTTGGGCATCTCCTCCTCCGTCTTCTCCTGGCGCAGGGCCACGGGAAGGCGGTATGGCACGCTCATCTGCTGTGCCTTCTGGCGCTGCTCCTCCTGCTTGCGCTGCTCGGCGGCCTCAGCCTCTCTGGCGGCAGTGAATTCAATGAACACCTCATCGCTGATGGACGTGGTCATGGGCTCCGGGCCAGGCGGCGCGCGCGCGGACTTGCCAAACTTGGCCCACGACCGCCGCGCCAACACGCGCGAGGGCATCTTCACTTCCTCGCGCACAACGTTGTACACTGTCGTCTGCTTGAACCGCTTGCCGTCTTCCTCGACCACCTCAATCACCTTCTGTGTGTCTCCTTCCTCAATCACCAGGCGCTCGTCCACAGGTGGCAGCTCCGTCGCGTCTGTCGCCGTCATCGTCAGATGTGTGGATGTGTGTGTGTGGGTGTGAGGTTATGCTTGTGTGGGGTGAATGCGCCTGCTGTATCTGCCAAGGCACGTGAAAGGCGGGGGAAGTTGCTCTCAAAGGACAATTCATACACATCTTCACACAATTATCCGCGTCACCAAATTCGAAACGACAAACGGGTATCGCTCAATTATAATGTCCTCAGTGGCTTTTCGTTGTGATGTGAGCTGATGGAAGCGTCTAGGGCGTCTTTGAGCGCTCTTTCCGGTGGTGTTGGTTTCGTTCGGATCTGACAACGAGAAGTCAGTCAACGAGCGCTTGCAAAATTACCACCCAAGCCAGAATCGCAATCCGCCAAAATCTCAAACTCGTCGGGAAAGTGGTGAAAATCGACAAACAAAGTTGGGAGGTTGTTTTTTGAGCGGCACACCACCACGACGATGAATGTTGATGAGGACGACTTTGAGGGTGAGGAGGAGGTGTTTGATGATGGTGCTGCTCGGGAAGAAGTGGCAACAGCACTGCTGATGCTGATGCAGAATGATGCGGAAGAGCGCACGGTGTCGCCCCTCAGCACTGCAAGCGCCGAGTGCAACGAAGCTTTGCGCACTGGGAACGATTTCATTAACAAGGAGTACTTTGGCGGGTGCGTCGCTTGCTTTCTTGTCAGCTTGCAGCAGTGATGTGGTGGTGGTGTATGCGAACGCTCTGGCGAGCATGAGTACTCATCACTCTGCCCTCTCCTTGCGCCTGTATTCTTTGCAGACCTCTTCGCATGACATCCCTCCTTGAGGGCGACAACGCTGGTGACGATGACGATGACGACGACGACGACGACGACGACGATGATGATGATGATGGTGGTGATGATGTTCAAGACACACCACTCTCTCCATCATTGTCGCTCCTGTGTGAGGAAGAGGTGCCGCCAACGCCAGTGAACGTCTCATCTCCGCGCCTTCCACCGTCTTCGCCCGCCGTGTCACAGGAGGTGCATGGGACAGCCGTGGCACTTCCGGACACAAGCGGCTCGCAGCCAAGACCACCGCCGCTGCCACTGCCAGCGAGTCTAATGCACCCACGTGCTCCAGTGCCGGCTTCAGCTGCCCCTCCTCTCCCGATCCCTATTCAATTCCAACCACACCTGTCGCGACTGCTTAGCAGCCCGCCACCAAAGCGCCCTCGACAACAACAGCAGCAGCAGCAGCAGCAGCAACAGCGAAACGATGCGCCGCCGATCGACCTTGTTGCCAACGAGCACTATTGCTCGACTGCTCTTCTGCCACAAGTGGCCGAGGTCGTTGACACACTCATCCCACAACCACCAGCAACCGCCACCAAGTCGCAGCAGTCAAAGCCATGCGGAATACGCCAGTGCAAGTGTGCTGCTGGCAAGGCTGGCAAGTGCTGGAAGACCTTTGGCGCGGGCACACTTGAGAGTCTCCGATGCCAGGTGTTCGAACTCAGCCAGCATGACCGCCGTCGCATGGTGCAGTCCATCGTCTCCACGAGCCTGAAGGTGCCGCCATGGCAGGTTGGCAATGGGCGGGATGATGCTCCGTGCGAGGACGGGTGGCAAGAGCACGTGCCGGACCGGAGCAGACTCACTATCGACTACCGCGTCCTGGGCGTGCCGCTGTGCAGAGAAGGCTTCCGGAACGTGCTTGGGATTGGAGGTCGAGTCATCAAGGAGGCAACCCGAGACGTAAAGGCGGGTGTCATTGTGCCGCGGCCATCGCTTCACGGACAACATCTCAAGGGTCGTGGGGTGTTCACTGCCCAACGCGTTGTTCACTTCATCAAGTGGGTGGCCTCGATGCACGGGCTGCCGAATCCTGCGGGACGCGGGGCCAAAGTACTGCTGCCCATCTCCTTGTCGAGGGCACAACTCCACAAACGCTACCAGTCCGCCACGGGTACGGTATGATCGTGTGCGTGTGTCTGTGTGTGCATGCTTGCCAGTCGCTGTTGCTCCGCTGGTGCTTACAGACCCTTGTCGTGTGCATGCTGGCTGCAACAGGTGATCAGACGTCGCTGGCCACGTTCAAGCGCGTGTGGGCAAAATATCTCAAGCACATCGGACACGCCAAGACCCGCACGGATGTGTGTGACACGTGCTCGAAGCTGAAGAGCGGCAAGGTACAACTCCGTGTGTGCGTGTGTGTGCGTGTGCGTGCGTGCGTGTGTATGTATGTGTGTGCGTGCGTGTGTGTGTGCGCGCGTGTGTGTGTGTGTGTGTGTGCGCGCGTGCGCGTGACCACTCATTCTGGCAACTTCACCGCTTCACTCGATAGATGTGGGAGTTCCTTATTCAGCACCTGAAGATGGCAAAGGCCGAGCGCAAGTTTATGAACGATTGGACTGAGTTTGGTGGGAAGGCAGATCACCACGTCATCAGCTTCGACATGGCAGGCACAACTCGCCTCCCTCACTTCCTGGAGCAAAGAAAGGCAAGCTGGGGTGATGTGTGAAAGGGGGGTGAGGATGAGGGATAGGGGTACTGCTGTGAGCTCGGTTTGTTCTCGACCTTGTCTCACCCTGTTGCGCACGTTGTGTTCACAATGCCAGGCGTTCTATTACGAGAGCGGTTTGAAGGTGGAGGCGTTTGGTGTGACAGACCTGGCGCGGCGCACCCAAATGAATTACGTCTGGCACGAGCAAGACTCGCCGAAGGTTCGCGGCGCCAACCTCATTGTGTCCCTCGTCTATCACCGCCTGACATCGATTGGCAGGCGTGACGTCCTCTACGCGATGGCCGACAACTGCGGCGCACAAAACAAGAACTGGACGTTCTTGTTCTTCTTCGCTTCATACGCGCACGTGTTCAAGTGCTCGGTGTACTATCATTTTCTCCTTCAGGGCCACACGAAGGGCCTGCACGATGCCTTCTTTGGCCTCGTCAAGCGAAAGCTCAAGACGGAGGACGTGTTCACGCCTACACAGTTTATGGACATCGTCGAGCGCTCTTCTGTGGCCAACGCCGTGACCAACGCGGCATCAGTCCCCATCTACAACCACACCGCACGCCTTGGCCTCCTCTTTTGTCAGCAGAAGCAGCTCAAACCAACCAAGTACAAGCACTTCTTCTTCGACAAGGACAGACTGGGTGTTGTTCGCTACCGCGCATCAACTTCAGACGAATGGGCGGAAGTGAATCTGCTTCGGCCTGGCGTTGGGCCAGAGCACATACACGCGGGCATCTTCACTGATGGTGAGCGTGTTCCCACCATCACCCTCTCCGCCAAGCGTCACGAGCAGCTGCGAAACATCAAAGAGAACTTCTTTCACGGCGTGGAGCATCTAAAGGACCACTACTACAGAGAACAGCCATGATTGTGTGTATCTCTTCGCCTGCACTGTGCATCTCTGAGCTCATCTCATGCCTGTTTGTGGGGGTGATTTTGTGCGAAGGTTGTTGCGGTCAGTAAAACAGTCACCCACCACCACACACACATCGCACGAAGGTGATTTTTGGCTCATTGGAGAGCTCTCGAAGAGCTCTTTTTTTGGGGTTTTGGCGTCTCTGAAGCCCCACACAACCCTTTGATGGCTTTTTCTCGTGTCCCATTTTTTGCCACTGAGGACATTATAATTGAGCGATACCCAAACGGGCCCGTTCACAGCGAGTAATTGTGGGTAGTTTTGGGTCGAATACTGCGTTCACGGCCACGCAATGTGGAGTAATTGGTTGATCCGACGTAATTGCAAATTACCATCCCCCGACTTGTGAAAGGGTGGTAATTTGGGGTAATGGCGCCGACGGTTGTGCGAAGTCCGGTAACCGTCAGTCGAACCCGTTGCACCGATCGAGCCAACTGAGGACGGTAACTGTCACCTTCCCCCAATATGAGCGTGTTTGGAGAGGGTACAGCCACGAGTACCCACGCCTTTGCTCGTCTACTCGTCTACGTCGCTGCACAGTACAAGCCACGACGGTCGTAGGAGCAGCGCACGTTTCCGAGGTACGTTTTGATCCCAGTATGCATGGCAAACTGCGTTGTATGGCTCTCCCGCATACTCATATACGCGCGCGCATATGTGTGTGTGTGTGTCGCTCGTTCTTGTCGATGGTGCTGCCGTCCATTAGGCGTGAGAAGGACATCTTTGGCTTGCCAAATGAGACGTTTCGCCAGAACTTCCGTGTCACCAAGGATCAGTTCTGGGAGTTGCTTGATGTCATTTCTCCGCACCTCCCCAAACGCCCTGGGACTGACGTGCCCGATCGCGTCGTCCTTGTCGGCCTGCTGTGGATGTTTGCTCACGGCTGCTCTCTTCAGGTGCGTGCGTGTTGCGTGTTGTTCCCGTTGATGATCTTTCCCGTAGGTACTTTGGCCACCTCGCTCACGCGTTGTTTCCGCACGTGTGCTTTGTTCAGGCTGTGCAGTTCTCAATTGGGATCAGCAAGTCCATGTGCAGTACGCACTTCCCCGCGTTCGCCAAGGCGATCATCGATGGACTCGACAACATCTCGTTTCCAACTGGGGAAGAGCTGAAGGAGGAACAGCGGCGATGGGCTCAGGATGACTTCCTCGAGGGCTGTGTCACGGCTGCCGATGGCGTGCACATCAGATACACCCCAACGACGAATGGCCACGAGGTCCGTGAATGACTTACAGTGCCCTGTACTCTATTCCCACTGCTTGCTTGGGCCTCTGCTCTGTGTCCCCATCGTGTCGTTCATTCATATAGCGCCCGCTCTCGTCTCACACCGCTCACGTCCGACACATGGCATGTGCCCACAACGTCGCACTTGCGCATACTTGTGTGTGTGCGATACAGGAGCGTTGGCGAAACAGAAAGGGCTTCAAGTCCCAGAACGTCCTTGTTTGCGCCTCGTTCGACAGACAGGTTCGCTGTTCTTGTGCGTGCGTGTGTGTGTGTCTGTGTGTGTGTGTGTGTGTGTGTGTGTGTGTGTGTGTGTGTGTGTGTGTCTGTGTCTCTGTGTCTGTGTCTGTGTCTCTGTGTCTGTGCGATGTGTGTGTGTGCGAAGCTGTGCCGCCAATTACCGACCCAGGTCACCTCATAGCCTGCCATGATGCGCATCGCACCACAAAGATACAGCACGTCGTCCTTGGC